TGTTTGGTAGAAACAATGGGATTTTCTACAAAGAAAAATCTGTATTATGAAATAACATAATTTTACTTCTTCTTTTCCAAATTACATAACGTTTATTGCAATTTCCAACATGCATTTTATTACTTATTCACTAGCTAAAATTTCCAGGACAATGTGGAATAAGAGAAGTGAGGGAGGAAACTCTTACCTTGTTCTCAATGTCAGGAGGAAGGTGTCCAGTCCTTTACCATTAATTACATTAATTATGGGTTTTTGCAGATTATCTTTATCAAGTTGAGAAAGTTTCTTTTGTTACTAGTTTTATGAGAGTTTTGTTATTCTCATTACCATGAACATATTTTGACTTTTGTCAAATGTTATTTCTGTATCAACTGATACAAACATATGATTTTGCTTCTTTACCTATAGATGTGATAGATTACATTGTCTAATTTTTGATATTGGACTAGTCCTGCATACTTGAACAAATCTCATTTGTGAATGTAATTCTATTTATTCATTGATGGATTTTTCTTATTACTATTGTGTTAAGGATTTTTGTGTCTATATTCATGAGAGATATTGGTCTGCAGTTTTCCATTCTTGAAATATATTTACCTGTGAATGAGGGTAATTTAGATCTCATAGAATGAGGTAGAAAGTTTTCTCTCTGTTTCTATTTCTTGAAGAGGTTGTGGAGATTTATTATATCTTCAACAATTGTTTGTTAGAGTTACCAGTTAAACCATCTGAGTCTTGTACTTCCTTTTATGGAAGGCTATTAATTATTAAGTCAATTTCCTACATATTCTAGGGCTATTCATGTTTCATGATTTTCTTGAGTTTTTGTAGTTTGTATCTGTGAAGTAATTGATCAGTTTCATGTTGGTGATCACATTTGTTGGTATAAATTGGCTCATTGTATCTCTTGTTATACTTTTAGTGTCCAAGGATCAGCAGTGATGACCCTTCTTTTATTTATTTTTATTTTTTTTTAAAGATTTATTTATTTGTGCATACAGAACTGGGGTACAAGGCCAGAGGCTCAGGGGCTGTGAGAGGCTTCACCAGAGACAGAGTGGGGAACAGAACAGGCAGATCTACGAAGTACACTGCTGAGGGGAGCAGCGGGCGGGTCAG